GTTTTGTGTTTTGTTTTTTTTTTTTTGAGTTGAAGTCTCACTCTGTCACCCAGGCTGAAGTCCAGTGGCACACTCATGGCCACCGTGGCCTCGACCTGCTGGGCTCAGTTGATCCTTCCACCTCAGCCTTCCAAGTAGCTGGAACTACAGGCACGCGCCACCATGCCCGGGTAATTTTTGATTTATTGTAGAGATGAGGCCTTGCCAAGTTGCCCAGGCTGGTCTCGAACCCATAGGCTCAGGCAATCCTTTCGCCTCAGCCTCCCAAAGTGCTGGGTTATAGGCTTGAGCCGCTGTGCCCGGCCTCTATTTTTAATTAGAAAAAAAAAATACCCACCAACAATCCAACTAGAAAATAAGCATATATTTCATCAAAAAGAATATATAGGCACATGAAAAGAAGTTCAGCATGATTAGCCATCAAAGAAATGTAAATTAAAATCTAAACAAAATATTACTACACACCCATCAGAATGGCTGAAATAAAAAATAGTGATAACACCAGATGCTTGTAAGAATGCAGAGAACCTGGTCATATATTGCTGGTAGGAATGCAGACTGAATGGCCACTTTGGAAAAGAGTTTGGCAGTTCCTTGCAAAGTTAAAACATATGCCACCATTTTACTCAGCAATCTCATTCCCAGATATATACCAAAGAGAAATGAAAAGTTACTAATGACCTATTAATGCTCATAGGAATTATATTCATCATACTCCCCAAATGGAAACAATTCAAATGCCTACCAGCTGTTGCATCGACAAACAATGGAACTACTTACCCAGCAAGAGAAAGGAACTAACGATATATACAACAATGATAAGCCTAAAAAGATGACATGAAAGAAATTGAACACAAAAGACTACATGTTATATAGTTATATTTATGTGGTAACCTTTAAAAACTATAGTGACAATATGAGAGGGAACCCAAAAAATTAAATTTATTAAGAAAAAATTGAGCCGGGCTCGGTGGCTCAGCCTGTAATCCCGCGCTTTGGGAGGCTGAGGTGACTGGATTGCCTGAGCCCGTGGGTTCAAGACCCACCTGGGCAACTTGGCAAGACCTCATCTTTTACAATATATTTTAAAAAAAAAATTAGCCGGGTGTGGTAGCGCGCGCCTGTAGTTCCAGCTACTTGGAAAGCTGAGGCGGAAGGATGGCCAGAGCCCAGCAGGTCGAGGCTGCGGTGGCCGGGAGCGGCCAATGCACTCCAGTCTGGGAGACAGAGTGAGACTCCAACTCAAAAAAAACAAAACAAAACAAAACAAAGAAGTGGAGGACATGTGAACTTTGCCCACTGGCATCTGGCTAGCACCTGGTCTAAGACCTCGTACATACCAGGCATTCAATTAAGTAGATATGTATTAATTGCATGAATGATGCATGTCTTTCTCTATGCGCCCAAAAGCACCCTAAACACTGCTCCATCCAGTTGAGGGATGTTCTCAGCAGTCAAGGTCCACCCAACTACAGCTCCAACCAACTCCCTTGAATCAGAATTCAAATTTCACCCTTGAAGCTACAGAAAGCCTGTCTGGCACCTGGAAAATGCCACCGTTACATCACATCTAACAAAACTTTTAATGAGAAAAATTATGGAGAAACGCAACCCATTTCAGACCTCAGACTTCATGAAATCATTTCCTGCTCGATCCAAAGGTGATTAATTTCAGACTAGATCAAAAGAAACAAACTAGCAACATTCAGGACAGAGCCAGGACACTCTTCAACTTCCCAGCTTCCGGAAGTATTTTGCTAATGCATATCTCTAGAGGAACACAAGGTCCCCTTCCCAATTAACACTATCTAATTAAAAACACCCTCAGGCAAGGCACAGCAGCTCAGGCTTGCAATCCCAGCATTTTGGGAGGCCAAGGAGGGAGGACCACTTGAGCCCAAGAGTTTCAGACCAGCCTAGGGAACATAGCGAGACCTTGTCTCTACAAAAAAAAAAAAATCAAAAATCACCCTCAACCATCCCAGGAAATTTAGCTGTATTGGGAAGAAACAAAAAAGCCAAAGTCACATTTGATAAAGGCATTTTGTTTTTCAAAGTTCACAGGCGCAAAAATGTTTTCCTCTGCTGTCAAACCAAACACCACCACATTTACAAAAACCTGACATTGACTGTGGTCCTTGATCAGAAAGCAGTCCTTGACATATCATGCTGTGACATTGACTCAGGATACTAGAAGAGTCAGGGATAGCTATGGGCCAGGCTGAGAGGCACCCAAACCAAGAAACCTGCTAGAGAACCGAGCTCTCAGCACCTCCTGCCCCCTGTTCAGCTCCGCCCCATCCCGGCACAGCCCTGGGGAGCAGGGCAGCACTCACCATCCGTCACGGCACTGCCATTAGGCACACTTCCCAGATCAACAGTCGGCCCGTCCAGGAAAATTGTCAGCTCCCCGCCCGAGACAACGCTGCCTTTGTTCTCCGTCTGCAGGTTCAGGGTCAGCTGCGTGTTCTCCACTGTTGGGCAAAAGAGGCAACATGGATGTACTAAAGTGAATGCACCCTGAGTTAAGATGCCCTAAATTAGAAACCCCCATTCTACCTACTCTGGCTTCCCTGGGAATGCTTCGCTGCATCTTCAAACTTGCCTCGTGGCATGGAAGAATGAGTGAGAAGGAATATGTCCAAGGGTATCACTGATGTATTAGGCTGGTGGGAAGCTGTACTCGTTTTTTCTAAACATTTATATCACCAGGTCAGCTACATAATTTCCACATGATTGTTTTATTTGTTTGTTTATACTTATAGAAATGTGGGAAGAGAATAAGAATACTGATGGCATACAGAGGAAGAAACTAGTTGCGTACAGCATTCTCCAAACCCAAAGAAACGGGTCAGAAGACTAAGAAAATGTCAACAGGAGCCATCTCTATCCAGATGAGGGATTGCAGGGACTTCTTTTCTTTATTTGAGTAAAAAACATGCTTTTTTAAACATTTTCAGTCCCAAAAATGTATTGCCTTGAGATAAGGAAAAAACATAAAACAAGCTGGGTGTAGTGGCTCACGCCTGTAATCCCAGCACTTTGGGAGGCAGAGGCAAGAGGACTAACTGACCCCAGGGATCTGAGTCCAGACTGGGCAACTTGGTGAGGCCTCGTTTCTACAATAAACCCAAAAATGAGCTGGGTGTGATGGCACATGCCTGTAATTCCAGCTACTTGGAAGGCTGAGGCAGAAGGATCGCCTGAGGCCAATAGGTTGAGGCTGCAGTAGCCATGAATATGCCACTGCACCCCAGTCTGGGCAACAGTGACATTCTGACTCTCAAAAAAAAAAAAAAGTAAAACAATAAAAGTCCAGTACCGGGGAGTCAGCCCCATCAATGACATAAGAAAAGAGAGGTTATCAACAGGGTGTCTGAATGAAACGTAATTGTACACCTAACCCTTAACTGTACCCCACAAAACCATAATAAAAAATACTGATTAATTATTTTTAAAAATAATAATAATAATAATAATTTTTAAAAAAGGAAAAGAGAGGTGAGAAGTTGCCCAGAGGCACGCAGTCCCCACCGCCACTCAGCGGATTCAGTCCTGTGGGCAAGCAAGAAGAATTGGATAACCCTGGCAGGAAAACAGAACAAACTAACACAAGACAGACGCACTGAACCCTAGACAAACTGGAAAGTGCTGCACACACACCCCAGACCCTGCCACTGAGCTTGGCCACACTGAGTAACTTCCATCCAGTCAGTAGTGTCCAGTTGGCACTGAATACTTCTATGCCTTTCAGTTCAGCCTAGTCAGGAGCTTTGGCCTCCAGTTGAGGGTTGTTTAATAATGACCATGAGCAAACCAACCTTTAGGAGGGTATGCACAGGGTATGGCATTCCTCCCCAACTCGCCACACCTTACAAAGACAGAGTAGAAAAGCACCACACATTCAAACCTCCCTCCTTGCCTTCCTCACTCCACCCACCACTTATTTTATGTCTTAGTTGTTAGGTATTATTATAAGCTCTCTTGCCTGTTTTCCAGAACAAGACAGGGTATGTATAAGTGTCTCCATAAGCACTAAGGTAAATTTGAGGGCCTCCTAGAGACAACCCCCCCCAAAAGCCTACTCTAATCTAAGAAACAAACACAGAACTTTCGTAGACATAGAACTCTTTAAAAACTTGGCAGAAAAGTCTGGATCAATTCAAGGATCTATTATAACCAGTCACCCTGCAGGTTTTCCACCACTCCTAAGATCTCTACCCACCCTTAATCTCTCTTCCTGGTCACAGGCCTCTCCAACGCCTGAGTCTGCAACTATTTTCATTCAGTTCACCGAGAGCTTTAGAATTCGAAATGTTTCTATAAGATAACACTTGTAGTTTCTAGCAGAAACTAGTTCCTTCAAAAACCAAAGAGTGTGGGGGAACTGAGGCCTTTCAGCCACCAGTACCACTTGCTGTCCCTGGGAGTGGCCACCTGGGAAGCAGATCTTCCAGCCCAGCAGAGCCTTGGATGACTGCAGTCCAGTCCACGTCCTGACTGCAAACTCATGACAGATCCCAGGCCAGACTGTCCAGCTAAGCCGCTCCCAAATCCTGACCCACTGAGACTATGAGAAAACAAATGTCTATTATTGTGGAGTTTTTAAGTCAGGGAGTGTCTCCCTCCTCCATCATGCCAAGATCCAGTGCATTAAGTCTCTGGTAACAAAGTACAAGTTAAGAGGGTGGGTGTGATCAGGCACTCTGGGTTCAAATCTCAGTTCTACTCCTAAGAGCTGTATGGGTAATTTGTATTAAGCAAATTACTCAACCCAAATATCCATCTCCCTAACTACAAAACAGGAGTTACCACAACACCTTTTCCAGAAGACACATATAAAGAATTAAATGATACTTAGTATGTTCCCAATGAAGTTTTATTATATCTCTGTTAATGTTCCCACTTTAGGGCAAAGAGTCCTGATTTCTCTTGGCCTGATTTCTCATTCATTCTATAGTCACTCTTCCCTTGCTCCTTCTGAGACATTTTTGGGTTGTGGCAATAAACTCCACAGGACTTCCCAGGTAAGCCACAGAATCATCACAAGGACGAACTGTCTTCCCATTTTGCTTCCAGGACCCTCCTCAAGATGCCCAGCCTTCCAGGCTTCGTACACCCCACTGTTGGAAGTATATGGGAAAGGCGCATCCTGGAAGCCCTCTCGACTCCTTTCCTGACCTCACAAAGGCCATCATTTTACAACTGGAGTGTGGGCATGTTTTTCCTCCTTCCTGGAGTGATGATAATGTTCAACAGATGGAGGAACACACGCCTTCTCGCTGCTAATTTCGATCTTCTGTGACAGTCACACTGCTGTGGTCCTCTGATAGAAGCCAGAGGCATATCCTGAAGTTTTCCCTCTGTGGGCTCATCTCAAGGATCCAACCTAGCTCTTCTTCTAGTTTACACACTGTCTCCAGTGGAGCCATTATATACTTGTAGGCTTGAAAGTCATCTTACCACAAGCCCTCCGAGACACACTTTACCTTCAAAAGAGTCAGTGAGGGAAGGAGGGATCTTTTTTCTTAAAACAATTTTTGAGAATATAACCCTCCGCTCTTATTTGAGACCTCTCTGGCTGTCATCATCATAACCAGGTGATTCCAATTTAGTGTCACCGAGAGCAAGACAACCTGTTGCCACATGCTTCCTGACATGATGCAGTATTTAGTACACAATGTCACTGTTAAAGACCTCTTGCTAAAAGCATTTAACCTGAATCTAATTAAACTTCTAAACCTACTTCCCAGTTTACATGAAATAAGGGGATAGAGAACAGATCAAATGATACCATTGAGGAAGCAATCAGACAACACCAGCATGTGGCACATCTATATAATAACAGTCCTGGACTACTGAAAAAGTCAGTATCATTAACTTGACAGGAAAAAGACTCAGCTAGGTTTAAAGAAACATAATCACCAAATGCCAGACATGAATTTTGACTAAAATTTTCTTTGAAAAAAAAAAATTTTCTTTGAAAAAAAAAATTCTGGGGGCAATTGGAGATATTTGCATATTGACTGGATACTAGACAGTATTTGAAATTGTTTTTTGGTTTGTTTGTTTATTTAGCGACAGGGTCTCACTGTCATCCAGGCTGGGATGCAGTGGTACAATCATAGCTCATGTTGCAGACTCAAACTCTTGGGCTCAGTTGATCCTCCCACCTCAGCCTCCCAAGTAGCTTAGACTACAGGCATACACCACCACATTCAGCTAATTTTTAACAAATTTTTTTTGGAAGCCGGGCTCGGTGGCTCAAACTGTAATCCCGCGCTTTGGGAGGCTGAGGTGAGTGGATTACCTGAGCCCGCGGGTTTGAGATCCGCCTGGGCAACTTGGCGAGACCTCATCTCTACAATAAATCAAAAAATTAGCCGGGCGTGTAGCGCACGCCTGTAGTTTCGGCTACTTGGGAGGCTGAGGCGGAAGGATCACTGGAGCCCAGCAGGTAGAGGCTGCAGTGGCCAGGAACGACCACTGCACTCCAGTCTGGGCAACAGAGTGAGACTCCAACTCAAAAAAAAAAAAAAGAAAGAAAGAAGAGATGACCGAGAAGTGGCAGGAACATAGACATATTATTTCTTGGTATTTTACATGCATTTCTAAAAATATTACTTAAGCGCGGGCTTGGTGACTCAGTCTGTAATCTCAGCACTTTGGGAGACCGAGGCAAGAGGATTGCCTGAGCCCATGGGCTCAAGTCTGGCCCGGACAACTTGGTGAGATTTTGCCTCTACAATAAATTAAAAAAAAAAAATTAGCCGGGCGTGGTAGCGCACACCTGTAGTTCCAGCTACTTGGAAGGGTGAGGCAGAAGGATCGCTGGAGCCCAGCAGGTAGACACTGGGGTTGTCGTGAGCATGCCACTGCACTCCAGTCTGGGTGATGGAGTGAGACTCCAACTCAAATAAATAAAAAATAAAAATATTACTTTAAAAAAAAGACAGACAGCCGGGCTCGATGGCTCAGCCTGTAATCCCACACCTTGGGAGGCCGAGTGAGTGGTTGCCTGAGCCCATGGGTTCGAGACCCGCCTGGGCAACTTGGTGAGACCTCATCTCTA